GGCTTACCGCGCTTACGTCACTATATTTGGGCAAAAATATCCGCTTCCAGACTCAGTGGTCGTGATAAAAAGTATTGTTTTCATTGTCTTACTGATTAACACTAAATTCATTAAATCACCTTGGACGTAATATTTTTAGGTATAAATAATGACCCACTGATTATTCCTTGATAGCTGAACTTTTCCTTTAAAGGGTCTATTTAACCAAGATAAGCTCTCAGACATATAAGAGCAGTTTGCAGAGCTGTGACCATGTTCTGTGTCTGACGTCACCCACCTTAAGTTCTGCTATTGTGTTTTCTCTTGTGCTGAACTCCCGCAGCATGTAATCCCTTCCATCCTGAAAATAACATAGAGAAAATCATTTTTTCAATGCATCTTACAATTTACCTTTTCAATGGACAGGAACATTGAAAATATTGAATTCACTCTGAATAACATGAAGTTAAGGAGCACAGAGTCCTATTTGGGATACAGGAGTCCTGCATGGGGAGCTAGCATGCGCGCGCACAAGATGTGGGCTGAAACATGCGGACGCTGAGTTCTACGCAAATGTTTGGATCAACAGACGGCCCAGTTCCGTACACCACCTCTGACTCATCTGTATGGATATAAAGATTTTAGAGACGGGGGATATTGGCATATTGGAACTTAATTTCTCTCACACTTAAAGTTCATGTGAAACAATAATTGTGGATTGAATTTGTTGATATTTGGCACACTGAAGGTACGCAGCTTTCTCCCTATCAGTTTTTCTTTGAATCCCAGCTGTTATTGTTGGGGCTCAAAATGGAAGAATTCTCTTATGTCAAAAAAAAACCAAGAATGGAGACGATTCCCTTTATCTGTCTGACCGGATGGAGGGAAACCGTTTATTAACAAGTCCAATTCCAACATGCTGTCCAAAAAGTCACAAATACAGAGCTCATCATCGTCACAAAGTCTCAAATCTTTTCCCCCAAATATGCTGCACCATGGTGTGAGTGTGCATGCACGACAGACTGTGTGGCCTAACGGGAATGTGTGGAAATCTGTGTTGCCTGCACTGAGCTCAGATGTTATTGTCTGATGCATAAACTGTTCATTCACCTCTGCGCTCGGTGGTTTTCTTTGTGAACGGCACAGCTGTAACTTTCTGAAGGACTGGTGTGGACATGTCCCCATCAACTCTGGCCTGGAGAGGACAGTCCCCACCAAAAATGTACGCTTTTTTCCCCCCTTTACGTTTATTAATTCTAGCTAAATGTAACTGAGGTTGGGTGCAGCTATCAGTGTTGAGAGCATTTTGAATCTGTGTTTTTCCCCCTTTTCTCCTTCTGCTTTGTTCTTCTTTACTAGTTAAAAAATGTTAGGCTTCTCAGAGGACCATGACTCCCAGTTACG